CCCATGACTGTCTTAAAATTAGTATGAAAGAGGTGGAGGTTGGGTATAATCAGCTGCAAAGTATTGAACATCTGAGTACATTGTGTGATCTGTGATTGATCATGAGCCACAAAGCCGCATGCCAAGCAGAGAGCCAACAAGAGGTGCTGAGGAGAGGGTTGTGTACTTAACCCTTTCTGAGTTCAGCGCCTAAATCCCAGATGGAGGGAGGCACCCCTATCTCTGTTAGTCATGAACTGCGGAAAGATTGGCCCTAACATGCGGGCACCCAACCGCCTATTAGACACCTCCCTTGTAACCTTTAGAACCTTTAGCTCCCGAGTTAGGGTACTCATCCAGGATGTGGGAGACTTCCCCCACTCCTGTTCAAGTCCCTGCCCTGCCTGATGAGAAGGGGCTTGAACAGGGCTCTGCCACCTCTCAAGTGAATGCTCTACCCTTCATAGAGTCATTCTAACTTTCTCTGGCTCAAATAATATGCAATTACTTAATTAAAGTGGAACAACTAAAGTGAGATTGAAGAAGCCCACCTCAGAATATTCCCTGGCCTCATCTGAGATGGGGCAGATTCCTGTTCAAACCCCTTCTCATCGGGTGTGTTTGAATCAGGGTCTCCCACATCCTTGGTGAATACCCTACACACTAAGCTAATAGTTAAAGGGATATCCTCCTCTGCTTTCCCTCCTGCCCCCAGGCTATTTGAGCTCTGCCTGTGAATTTGCATCAATTGTGTAGGCAGTCTCTGAACATGCACTGTGGATTGGCACTGCCCACACATTAGGCACCTGAATGCCTATCTTCCCCAGTTTCTGAATCACCATGGGACTTAGGGGCCCAAGCCCAGGCCCCTACTGCGAGGCAGCAGTGCACATGTTCCAAGGCAGAAACAAGCACCAAGGGAACTTTTACTGCAAAAACTCAGGCACTGAGTGAATTTAGGCCCCTACAGACTTTAGGCAGCTGAGCAGATTTGTGGATCACAGCAATGGCTGAAAATGAGACCTAAGCACCTTAGTGGATCTCATCCATTTTCACTTTTTATCCCTTCTTGCTCCTCTCCCATGCTGTCCCGAGCATAGATTGGGACAGCAGGTAACCTAAAGCTCTTCCAGCTGAAAGGTGTTTTTGTTTTAAAAAGTAGCAATTTGGCTCCATCTACCACTGCAGATGGACAAATGGCTCCTTTGTTTAAGTGCTGCTACCCAACTTCCCTTCCTCGCAGCCACTTCCTTTGTAGTTTCCAGCACTGCAGTAGGGCACTCAGAAGATACTTTCTCCATACGCAGCCTCAGGCCTTGTCTAGACAAGGAGGAGAAAGGGGGATTCTTTCCTATTCAAATTAACTCAACACCATTTAACTTGGTCCATGCCTATACTAGGAAAGAAGCTTTTACGATGAGATTACTAACAGTTGTAAAACCCTACTATAGACAAGGCCAAGTGTAGTTTTACTTCAGTGTAGCTGGTTGAGGTGAACTCTAGCTATCTAGTCATAAAGCAACGTTGCCCCAACAGACCAGACCCATGGTTGAGGAAGCTATAATTGACCTGCCAAAATCCAGGCAACGGTTAAAACTGTCCACATTGGTGCAAGTGGGATTTTCAGCTGAGGTAAACTGGAGCCCTCTTGAATGACCTCCTCCTCCCCCTATAAAGCACCTTTTTTCCCTATGTCAGACAAGGCCTGGAAGGCTAGTTCCAGACTTGAGTTTGGCTATGGGATGCGGCAGGACTACATTTCTGGCTTCTGACAACTGGCCTTGCAGTGAAGTTGACTTTAGGGGATATAAATGTTTAAGGGAGAGTTAGCAGCCATGGACGCAGCTGCTTGGCAGAAGGTGGCATAACTGACAGTAGATAGTCAAACCATTGCTGAAGACAATAGATAGTAGCAGTGAGCAGCTTTCCAAAGGCCTTTTCTACACCAGTGCAATAGTTTAAGAAATCCCCCCATTGGTAATAGGAGTTCAGTTGTTGTAGTGGAAACAATACCCTTCTCAGCAGGTACTACCAGCCAGAACGCAGGCTGTATCTCTCCCGCTCTTCACCATTCACATCCCCCAACTCTCTTCTCTTTTCTAACCCTCGAGGGAAAAGAAAACAAGTTATTTATCTCAGTTCAGCTGTGAAGTAGGGAGGGAGATGCTGTGAGAGACACTATCCAAGAAGAGTTGGATGGCAACACAAACTCAAACAGCAGCTGTGTGGTTTTCAGAGAGGACCTTCTGCTTTTTTACTCGCTGGGTGAATGGTAGAGAATAGCCCAGCAGCACAACCAAGCTCACCCTTTGTAGAGGAAGGATGGTCCAGTGGCTAGACATTAGCCTAGAACTTGAGACTTCAATTCCCTACTCCACCACCATAAGATTTCTTATGAGACCGTGAGCAAGTCACTTAGCCTGTCTGGGTCTGTCTACACTGTGATAAAAGACAATTGGCACAGCTGTAGTCGGACCATTCAGCTGACTCAGACTTGCAGGGCTAGAAAATTGCAATGTAGACATTTGGGATGCAGCCTGGGCTCTGGGACCCTCCCCCTCACAAGGGGGTCTCAGAGCCCAGGCTCCATCCCACACCCAAATGTCTACACTGCAATTTTATAACCCCACAGGCCCTGCACCCCATCAGCCCAAGTCTGCTAACCTGGAGCAGTCACCGGTCGTTTAGTGCAGTGGAGACACACCCGCTGAACCTCAGCTTCCCAGTTGTGGATAAATATATTGAAGATTGTGAGGCACTCAAATACTGCAATGATAGGGGCCAACTGAGTACCTCAGATAGTCAGAGGGCTAGTGCTCTTGTAACTGAGGAGAAATTAGAATCCAGGATACATTTCATTAGTATTGTAGATCACAGGCATCCTTCACAGGGAAAGTTGTTTGAGATTTTTAACATATCATGGGTGGGATTCATTGTAATGAAGCAAGGCTGATTGTGTTTAGACATGGATTGTTGGGTTCACCCTTCATCACTAATAAGGTGGAGGTTGAGCAAATCTATCAGACCTATTCATCCGACTTGAGGATAAACTTTAGTTCAAAACAAAAACACCCTCCACTCTTGCTTAACTGTATGGCATCCCTCCTTCTTGCTAAGTCTCCTCTTTAATGCCACCTCACTCCTAGAAACTGGGACTTTATAGTTCCAAAATAGGACAGATTAGATTAACACCAACCAGGAGCATGTTGGATATGCTATGGCCTCAAGGGTGGCTGCTGACAGTGAGTTGAAAGATGCTCGGCAGAGTATTTCATGCGCATTCAGAAATTACTGCACCTGGTTAAGAAATCAAACTACCATTTGTTGGCTAAACCTATATTTAATACAGAGTTTCTGAACACTGGATGAACAAACACAAGGAGGTGTCCTTGTGGTGCCTTAGAGACTAACACATTTATTTGCCCAAATAAATGTGTTAGTCTCTAAGTGCCACAAGGACGCCTCGTTGTTTTTGTTGATAGACTAACACGGCTACCACTCCGGATGAACAAAGTTTATCCAAAGCACCAACCCAACCTCACTGTAAACTGAACATATAGGGGTTGGGTACTTTGAGTAATTAAGTACTGATAAAACACAATCTGTATTTTCTCTCTGTTTATCTGCTAAAGGAGCAGGCATGGGTATTTTAAAGAGACTTTGCTATAGTTCTTAAATACTTGTGAAGAACTGAAGTTTGAGTTGTGCACACCATATTTCACATTACAACTCAACTTGTGACATTAAGTATTGATTACAGTTCGAGTGACCATATCATATATGTCTGTAAATCCTGCTATAAGGTTAACAGGTGCCAAGGCATTGTTCAATTTCCTATTTATCTGCTGAAATGCCAAACTTGAAGAGTGTTGGTCATCTATTTTTCCATGAGCACAGCCAAATCATTTCTTGCTCTCAGCTTCTCACCTGTCCTGAATCTGAAGCCCACATCCAACCCCTTTAACAATAAATGGACAGTCTGATTTGATGTAGAATATCCTTTCAACTAAAAGTTGCTACACTGTTAATGTGAGCAATTAAACTGACAGGTTTCAGAGTAGCAGCCGTGTTAGTCTGTATCCGCAAAAAGAACAGGAGTACTTGTGGCACCTTAGAGACTAACAAATTTATTAGAGCATAAGATTTCGTGGACTACAGCCCACTTCTTCGGATGCATATACTATAAGCATATACTATATGCATCCGAAGAAGTGGGCTGTAGTCCACGAAATCTTATGCTCTAATAAATTTGTTAGTCTCTAAGGTGCCACAAGTACTCCTGTTCTTTTTTCAATTAAACTGAATTAGACTTCAGAGTCCATCTCACCGAAAGAGGGGAGGGGACACACTTTAGCCTGTCTAGCTTTAGACTCAAGACAACACAAAGGCATTCACGTTATTCTTTACAGCCAGAAGAACTACAAACTAGGAATGCTCAAATGCTACAGAATATGATAAAGATCCATGGGATGGTCCTCCTACACCAACTAGGCCTGGTCTACCCTAGAAAACTTAGTACACACCTTTAGTATCAAGTGCAGCTGCACCAGTGTTTGTTTTGTTTTGACCTGTACTACTACTTTATGTGGTGCATCATTGGTAGCAGTGACTTCAGCACCAACAAATACAACAGCATGCAAGTGTAGCATGAAGTGGCCATTTTCATGCAAAGCCTCAAGTACAAGTGTTAAGAGCTAATGTACACTAAACAAAACCCAATCAGATAAGAGTTACTGCCAGCTCAGTCTGAATCATGCTTATCTGAACTGGTTTTAAAAAGTAGTCTGGTCTACATTTGCATTTAAAACATTTAGAACCAGCATAGCGGCTGCCAATGTTAAAAACCTATACAAAATATCTCTGCATAGACTGAGCTGTAGTCTCTTGTGTCTGTATCCATCCATTTCTATTGGACCCAGGTGATGTGTTATGGAGCTAGCTACAGCTTTCCTTCAGGGAGGAGCTGTGAGAACAATATGGAACCATGGGGGGAAGTTACAAAAGTTTACATAAAGATAACATTTTATAAATTATATGAAATTTATTTATACCTTGTCTTCAAAAGCCAGAACAAGACAATTTAATTGCTTAGATGCTTTCTGAAACATCTTATCGGAATTACATGGAAGTGCACTTAAATACTAGCAGAAATCTGGAATCAGTCAGTGTATTACAAGACTTTGGGTTCTAGCCAGAACCTAGAAATTCTATAATTCCATATTAGGAGCTTCCACCAAAAGTGTTGAAAGATGTTAACATCTCTGCCGAGCAGAGTATCAAAAATACATAGTAGTTTATATTTTCATAGCACTGTATGAAACTCTCTTCAAAATTCAACACACAAGTCAAGCAGATTACTGATCTGTTCCAAATTAGCAAAAAAGTCATATTAAAAACAAAGTTCAATTTAAAAATGGTTTAAACGTAGCTTGCCCAGCCTGTGTGGATGAGGCCAAATGTCAAACAAACCATTTTAGCTGGAACACTTTAAACCACTACTTAGAGCAGTTCAAAAAAGTGAGTTAAAGACCCAGTAGAGATAGGAGGCTTAGCTGATGGGACTCCAGTCCTCCGAAGCTTCTAAGTGCTAACTTATCAATTAAAAAAAAATTAAACCAAAACAAAAAGCATTTTCTAGAAAGGTAATATCAACTGCTGGCCATTAATGGAATTAATAGTAAACCACTTGGACATAAACCACTACACTAGTAGAGGTCATTAGATGACATGTCTGAATTCTATTGTCATCAATACATGGTCTCAAAGTTACAGCCAGTTGACAAAGACTCTAAAGATGATTAAACTATACATAATTATAGAAAAATAATTCCCTGGGGTATGCATCAATAAAACATACTCTGGGCCCTAGTTTTCAGAATTGCATGTTCTGAATTGCACAAGCATTTAGGTGCTTAATTTGTGCAAGTAATTCTAACCGTGTGCTGAAGTTAGGTATGCAAATCCAGTCAATTCTGAAAGCACAGACCCGGCGCAGTTTTACTTCAGTTTCAGACAATGAAGTTTTTAGTGCAATAGTTACCATTAGACATAACAAAATCAGCTTTAGTCTTCTTTCATATCAGATTGAAGCTCACCCCCCAACAGACATGAAGTAATGAAGCTTTTGGCTCCATGTACATGGGGAAGTGTTGGAGTGCTACACTTGACCTATCAACAGAAGGGACATCATAAATCAAGTGAGTCACTGCATATGAAACAGTAATTACAGACACTATGATTTGCATGTTACAGTCACACATTTTAAATGGAATGCACCGTACCTTTGTGTGCCACATATTTGAGTTGTGTGGCTTTCCACCTGTCCGCCACAAAACTATACCTGTATATACACATTACATGAAGACCATATTCTAAGTACAGCTTCACCTGTTTAAAATCACATATTTCAAAAGACACCTGAAAATCTAATTTAAAATCAGGTGTTCAAGCCATTGCTAGAATTTCTAAAGCGTACAGAGTGGGTATAAGCGCTGCATATTATCAATCCAATTTGTTACTCCCAGGTTGTCCTGAGGAACAGGACAACTGAAAATGTATAGGAACATTTTATAGTTTAAAAAACAAAGCAGAGGTAAAAGTGAAGTGTTTTGCTTTTGAATTCCTCTGTCAGTGAAAGGCTGCATTTAATGCTTAATGGTTCAAACTGTAGAAAATCAATGCCGAAGACATAAAAAAAATAAAATGTCAAGACAGCACATAAGATTGATTAATATTAGACGTAACACTTACAAAGAAAAATACATCCTGTGGATTTTTTTTTTTAAATAGTAAGAACTATCTTTTTAATACAGACTTTTACTTTCTAGGCTAGAAATTTGTCACCAGAATACAGTTATTTATAATTTATGCTAGTATGTAACATGCAGCTGCTGAACTAAATAAATATGGTGAATCAGTTCTTTATGCAGGTGCACAGAATTGTTAGTGTATAATTTAAAGACTCATTATTTAGGCAATGTATTGTGTATTAGTAATATTTTATTACTTATTACAATGTATTACGTATAGCCTTTAGGCTGACTACCAGCATTAGAAACCCCGTTAAAAGAAAGTATAGTCCATAGTTGTATTAGGTAATCTTAAAATTCAAACCAATTTCTGACAGTTGCATCCAAAATCAGAGTTTCCATTCACCAAAAATGGCTTCCAATGCTCAATCAACATTTAGGAAGATATATTTTCAAGTGGTTTTTTGTTTTGTTTTTAATAGTCTTCAACAGTCAATTTAGGCCATTCCTTCTTGAAGCTTTATAATGTTTATGAGATCTGAGGAAATCAGAGAGGAACATAGAGAGCAGAAGGATACAGGGACAGGGGAAGGAAAATGAGAGCAGGCAGCAGTAATGTGGAGACAACTGGCTAAACTTAAGCTGTGTGTCTACACTACAGAGCCTTTACCAGCATAGCCCCGCTAGTGGAGATGCAGTGTACATCAACAAAGTTTTTCTGCCAGTATAGGAACACCACCACCACCTCTATGCCAAGAGAAGCACTCTTATGTCAACGTGGCAGCATCTAAACTGGGAGTTTTGTTGACATAGCTACGTCTGTCAGGGATGTGGGTTTCTCCACACCTCTAACTAACATAGCTACACCAGTACAAGTTTTAAGCACAGACCAGGTCTAAGGTCTGGTCTACATTAAAAAGTTAGGTCAATCTAGCTACGTCGCTCAGGGATGTGAAAAAATCCACACCTCCGAGTGATTTAGTTAAGCTGACCTAACCCTCAGTATAGACAACGCTAGGTTGACAGAACTCTTCTGTTGACCTAGCAACTGCCTCTCAGAGAGGTGGATTACCTACACGGACAGGAGATCCCCTCCTGTTGGTGTTGGCAGCATCTTCACTGAAGTGCTACAGCAGCGCAGCTATGCGGCTGTAGTGTTTCAAGGGTAGTCAAGCCTTTGGAGTGAAGGAAGCAAGAGAACTACCCTGAAGTGGATGAGCAGCAGCAAAGAGACCACTAACATAGACAAGACCCATAGTAATGTATGGAGAGATCAGGTACTGGAGCCAAGAAACTGCAATTCTTCAAAAATCTTCCATATTTATTTTCAGATGTGTGGGATCATCTTGGGATGAGAGGGGACAGGTGTCAGGGATGCTGTGTATTTTCCCCTAATGGAAGGTTGGTATCATACAGTTCATCTCCCACTTAGTTCACTGATCCCTCAAGGAACGTAGTAAAACCTGTGCCATCATGTCATCTTCATCAGCATCATAATCCTAAAGACAAAAGAGGCAGCGTGCATTAGAAACTTGACTTCATATTGAATAAGGATACTAAGGAGAACAAACATTCAGAAAGCGTAGGTACTTAAAAATCCATAAATGCCCACACACAAGCTACCTAACACGATTTGTCTACCTCATAAAAAAATATTTTAACAGTTGCTATTTTGCTATAGCCCAAGATTAAGAAATATCCTAAAACAGCTATTAGTGGCATTTCTATCTTCAAAAACCTAATCCAAGCCACAACAGATATTACAGGAGCAATAGATTTTTAACAGTATGCACTCATTACATACCACAAAAGTATCATAGGAAAACTGATGTCGCCGTTGAAGATGTTCCATGAAGTTAGCACTCCTGTAATTTGGATCTCCCCATGGCATCGAGGCACAAATTGGGCAAACCTTAGAGAAAAAAACATGAAAACAAATTTTACCCGAATACTGAATTATGTTTATATTTGAGTTCACGGGGAATATCCTCAGAACCAAAGACTTCTTTGGAGACCAGTCTCATTACAACAGTCCTTGGAATCTAGGTTTGCCTCTTGAAATCCAGTTCCCTCCCTGGCAAAATATCTGATTTAAAAAACAGAGAACTGTAAAAGAAATGAAAGAAAAAAAAAAGATTTTATAGGCTTATGGCGATTACAAACACAACCACGACCTCATAAGACACTCATATGTCACAGGAAACAAATTTAGAACGTTTTGCCAAATCATTTAACACTAGAATATTTGGTTCCTCACTGAATTCTATTCAGATTTTAGGTTTCTGAATTTAACTGCTAATTTTGAGCTACCTCTGTGTACTGACAGTTAGAATATTGAATAAAGTTCCTTGTTTTGTAGAAGTATTTCATCCTCCCTGTTTTTCAAGAATAAAAAAAATATTTTCTCCCCCATCATGCCCTTGCAGAAGATACATGTCTGCATGGAAAAAGAGAATATTCCTTTCTAAACCAAGAAACTTGAGGCATTTCCTGAAGATACCAGAGCCACCCTTGGGACAAAGGAAAGAGCTATTAATTATTAGAGCTGAATTTCTGTAAGTTTTGCAGCTTCTGGTCTACTTCCTGCCATACCTGCAGATAGAATTTTCATCAATTACGAGACATTTTTATCATCAGATTAGTGATCTACTCTTTTACTGAGCATGTACGGAATAGTTTAGAGAAGATCTAATGATAAAACTTCATTCTACATGAGCCATTGTGAATAATCTGCAGGTGCAGGCAGTTTAAGATTTTTTTTTTTTAAACTGAGTTTTTACAAGCTGCAGTATAGGCATGTGTTAATACTTGTTAATTCTAAGACACCTTAATATCCTTATGAAAGTTTGTCTGTCCAGGGGCTTCCTCCCCCCCACCTCAAAAAAGTATGTTTTTGACATTATCTAAAATTGGTATTTTATTCCAGATGTTTGTTTTATTAAATTACTACTACTATGTAGTATTTTAATTTTGAGGCTGTAATACTTAGAAAAAAAGTTTAAATATGAAAGAATGGCTTAAAGTGGGTGCACCTGTGATCGTGTCACACCCAAGTTCAGACTTTTACAGTTAGGCCCCAATCCTGCAAACAAATATGCACGTACTTAATTTTATTTTCATGAGTAGTCCCACTGGAGTCAACAGGAGTACCCAAATACTTAAAGTTAAGGACATGCTTATGTGTGAGGGCCCTGATTCTGTAGTTTCCCAGAGATTACCAGATTTCCTCATCAAAACTGTTGTACTGAGTTTGATACTGTAAATATTACCACTTGTTTTGCATCCATGCTGTGGTATTTTTTGCAATGTTCAACTAGTCCTTCCTGATCAAAGTTTTTCTCACTGCAGTAAGGACAAGGAAAGGTAAAACGATTTGGAACATTCCTGTAAAAAATAAAATAAATAAAAAAATTACATCATAGAAAGATGAATTAAAATCGAGAGAGTCTCTGGCTATTCAAGGTCACCTGACAGAGGATATTTCAAATACAGACTACTCAGAAGTTAAACCCTTAGTGTATGGTATGCAAGCAATCTGAATTTAAGAACCTGCTTTCTTTATTAGTTACCAGATGATATCTTAAACAGCACAATTCTTAATACAATTAGCATTTATACAGCACTTATTCTTCAGCATCTAAAAATATTAGTTGTAGCTAAGTATATATACACACTATTCATCAAGTTGCTTTCTTCATTATAATTTTGCAGCACTTTAATAAACCACACAATTAAGTGCTAGATATGCTACAGTGCAGATTAATAGAGCAGTGCAGTCATTTCCTTACCTAGGACCTGATCCTGCAATAGTCTGCTTGGGCAATTTAAGTCAATGGAGCAGCATGTCTGTGCACTCAACTGCAGGATTAGGGCCTAGCTAATATCAGTATCAGAGGATTAAAGTAAATGTTGTGCAAAATAAGTGAAGAGCTAATATTGTTTTGCTTTCAGTCTCACTTGCTGGCACACAGGTGCAATGCACTGGAATAATTAAAACCAGTTACCCAACAGCATCCCTCTGACCAATCTGAAAAAGGAATGTTTCAAGAGGCATAGTTACCTGGTGTTACGAGGTGGGTCTTTAGTTACAGCTTTAACGCCTTCCATTATATAATTCTGGTATTTTGAACAAGAAGCTGCATGACTACGCATCTTTGAGAGGTACATCTAGGTAAGCAACAGAGAGAGAGAGAGACAGACAGTTAACAGGCAAGGTTATTTTCAATTAAAAATTTAAAAAAGGATTGCAAATAAACAGTGGAATCTAGAAACAATGTGCTATAAGAAGAAGCTTCGTGTTCAGATGAGACTGAAGTAGCGAAAGCTAAATGTTTTGGCACATGGGACAGAACAGAAGAGAGAGCTATAAAATAGAAGCTAGGTTAGTGAAGCTATAACACTCTTTTGTTAACGACACAATGCATTATATTGCCCAGGACAGCTGACTCCTTGTTTACCTGACCATTGTAATTCTTATTTTATATTCCCTTTAGATGCAGAAAAGTACTATATCCATTTTGCACTGAGTCAGTTTTCTAGATCTTCCCTTCACTATTCCCTGCAACAACAGGATCAAATGGAAGTAGGCTACTGTCAGATGATATACTCTAAAATCTACCTCATGGAGTATTATGACAGGGACACATTAAGAGTGCCAAAGAAATGCAGAGGACAAAGGTTCTTTCCTAAACAGAACTTTAGTAATCAAAGTCCAGCTAGCTATGTTGTTCTGGTTAACATATTTACCAAGGTTAAACCACTAGCATCTTTATTAATTCTAAAAAGAAAATGGTTTTAAGTGTGGTCTTGACACCAGTGAGACATACCAAGAGCTGCATCATCAAGGGAAGATCAAAGATATTTAAACATTAGTTATGAAGGGTGGGATCCACAAAGGTGTTTAGCCACCAAAGTCCCAGTTTTGGCTCTACTGCAATACATAAAACTACAAATCTCTGTAAGCACCTACATTTTTCAGAATGAAAATTCCCTCAGCACCTATGTTTCTGCTTGTGGGCATGCACACTGCTGCCTCCCTCTGGGTGTCTGGACACCCATCTCCCATCAAAGCCCCAGAGGGGCCCACAAATGAGGGGGAAGACAGGCATTCGGCAGTAGTAATGCTGCTGCTGCCCACCTGCCCAGTGGTGAAAGCACTTGCCTGGCATGAGGGAAACCCAGGTTTAATTCCCCACCTCTGCCAGAGAAGAAGAAGAAGCGGTCCCCCCACCTCTTAGGAGGGCACTCTAACCACTGAGCTATGTGGTATTCTGATGTAGGGCTCCCTCAATCTCTCCTGTCAAAGTTGCTCCACTATTGATAAATAATGAGTGATTGGAGCAGGGGGACTGGACCTGGGATCTCCCAACTCACAGGTGGATGCCTTCACCACCAGACTAGACAGTAGTTCCCATTCTCTCTCTATGTCCAACAATTGTTTAAATATTTATAGACAGTAGAAGAGTCACTGGGGCAGAGAGGGAGAGAATGGGAATGACTGTAGTTCAGTAGGACGCTAATCTAACATTATCGCACAAAAATGAAACCAACCAGAAACAAAAGTGAAACTCATTGGGCTGTTACACTTTCTTAAGCTAAATTAAATACAAAAAGCAAACAGCATAAAAATGAGAAACTTAAAAAAAAAAATCACATTTTATTTAATCGGGAGGGGACTTTTAGTAACCACAGATAGAAAAAGTATATTTAACATGACAATGTTCCTTAAATAGTTTTAAATGCTTAATCTTTGATTCACCTTGAGGAAATTAACTTAATATTTAGATGTAGGACTATATTCACTGTAGAAGTTTCACTCTTTGTGCCATATAACAAAGTAACAAAAGTTCATTAGTGTTTCTTATTATTTATAGCACCTATCACCTGGTGTTAGGGTTGCCAATCCTCCAAGATTGTCCTGGGGTCTCCAGGAATTAAAGATTAATCTTTAATAAAGACTATGTCATGTGATGAAACTTCCAGGCATATGTCCAAACAAAACTGGCAACCCTACCTGGTGTCCAATAATTCCTAAACTGCATTGTTCACATGAAGTACTAGTAATTCCACTGAGGAAGAAATACTACTTCCCTACCATTAGAAATAAAATGTATTAAAGTATTTTTCCATACACAGAATCTGCTTGTGAATTTCACATCTATAGAAAAGACTATCCTTAGACAGTTTTGTCTTAACTGACTACCCCAAACATAGTGAATAAAATTCTGCTATACCTTTTTATAGTAGAAAATTTTCATTAAGAAACCAGTCTGTCTGTCCCTTAAGACAGTTTTCACTTTGTACTGTATTTACAGAACAGAATTTACCCCTGCAGAACTGCATGTAGCTCAGTAGCCTATTGCATCTTCAGCTTCATGTTAACTGTATATTTCTACTTGAAACCCACCTCCTAATGAAAAAACAGCAGGCAGGGGAAAGGGAAACCTCTTAATGTTACCCTACAAGCAGTCCACATGGATTATTTATCACAATTAAAGTTCTGATGGTTTATTCCCTAGAAAGCGGATGTGCAAATATTGTATTTCCATGCTAGCTGTTTGCCTAGTTCAGCCATGTATGTACTACTTTTTTGTGCTTTCATACTTTTTTATTGCAGCCATCACAAGTGGTTTCTGTCATTTCAATTTGCTTTTCCAGGTCCAGAGCTCTACTGCCAGGAGACAGGGTACTGCGGCAGACTCCACAAACTGGTTCAATAGGCTTCAGACATTCCTGCAGGCATGGAGTGCAAAAGCTAATATGGGAGAAATATGATTTGTAAAAATGCATGTTGTAGAACATATTTGCACTGTTCTAATTAAAATACCCACAGACCTACCCTACAGGAAATAGAAATCACAAGTGACAACATCCACTGACAAATAGCAACCTGTTGATATGCTAAGGGACAGTCAAGTCACCGTAAATCTAGTCAATTTAAAAGCAGTTTCAAGTCATGTCCCTGTCCCTGAATGCTCTTGCCAATTTATGGTTTATGCCACATTTTCCTCTTTTCAAAGTTTCTCTTCACTGTTTCAAACACAAAAACCCAAACAAACCAACAATTACATAGTGAAGCTGACTAAACAAAGTGCTGTCAAACACAAAGTAAACAAATTGAAAAAAATATTCCTTTGATCTTTCAGTTATAGTAATCTGAAATGCAACTTGTAAAAATGACCTAACTATTCCCCTTAGTTGCATGCAGAGAAAGAAGGGGTCTCAGATACCTCTGCAAAGCCCTTTTCTTCAGACCCCAGAACTCCAAGGGGATGTACATTGTTCCTTCCCCATAAAGCTTACAGTTCATATCAGCTAAGAAAATCTCATGTTAGAAAACATTAACTAGAACATTTTAACTGACAACTGTGACCATAACTTTACCCTTAGTGCAGAAAAAGAAAACTGTGTTTAAAAGGTATGTAAGCAAATGGTGGTTAGCCTTAGGCAGGTTTGACCTGAGGGCATATTTCCTCTTAGAGGCTGTCTCCTGTGAATTTTACTGGCAGGGAGGGCACCTTGTCCCAGCACAGACAGAACTGTAATTAAGTTTCACTTTAGTCAGAGCCAAGCAGATATCTTGTTTCTGCCTACCCCACCCATCCGGTCAGTATCCCACGCATAGTCCTTCTCTCCTTAGCTCATATCACCCACATTTTATTTAATATCGGGGGTAGCCATGTTAGTCTGTATCCACAAAAACAACAAGGAGTCCGGTGGCACCTTAAAGACTAACAGCTTTATTTGGGCATAAGCTTTCGTGGGTAAAAAACCTCACTTCACTTTCCATAAAAGATTCACACCACTTCACAGCAGATGAGTCCATAGACCGAAAAGAAAAAGGCCGAACTTCTTCCTTAATCCATTCAACACTTCCCCTTCGCCAGCGCACACTGCCTACAACCAAACCGCTTCGGTTTCTATTCCCTCCCTGGTATCGTTTCCAAGAATCTGCCCGCTGGTTCTCCCCCCTTTCCCAGCCTTCGGAATTCCCCGCGCTCACTGCTGGCCGTTTGGCCCGTCGGATTTTCTGCCAGCTGCTCGAAACCGATCCCACTAAGGGCCCAATCCCTCAATCCTTACTCAGGCAAAACTCCCCCTCAACTACATGACCGGTGGCTTTGGGCCCCGCTGGCCCGTAGGAGTTAACAGGCTCCGGGGGAGAGGGGGGTTAAAGCCCAGGGAGAGCTCTTGGCGGGGATCTTACAGCATTCACAGGCCCATTCCTCCGGCAGGGCTCAGACCCTCTCCCCAGGGCTGGGGGCACAGGCCGCCCTACACTGAGGACAGCTCCCTCCTAACCCCCTCCAGAAGCCGCTAAGTGCCCGCGCCTAGGCCCCACTTACTCTGAGCCCCCGTTCCCCATGGATCTCCCCGCCACTGCCCAGCCCCTGCCATCACGGAGCCCCCCCCGCTGGGTGCCAGATCCTCCCCCGGTCCCGCGCCAGGCCATCCCCGGTGTCCGCTCACACATGGCCGCAGGGGGCCCGCACCGGGCTCTCAAACACCTCCAAGCAGACGGGGCAGGTGAAGCGGGACAGCGGGTCCTGAAGCGCCGATCCCTCCGGGTACCGGGAGCTGCTCTCCACCCCCGCCATCTTCCACCGGCCGGCCGCCCCCCGGTGCACTTCCGCAAAGCAACCCCAGCGCCGCGACGGCGGCCCAAAGGGGCCGGCGCTCCGCCACGCCCACCCGAGTAGGCAACGGGCGGCGGCCTAACCCGCACGCGCAACACAGCAGCTTTTTCGAACCACGCCCCGTCGCCGCCAGGCCACGCCCCGGGGCGGGCCCATTCTCTTCAGCTCCGCCCACACCCAGTCACGCGCTTTTCTGCCCAGGGCTGAGCTGGGCGTGGCGAGAGCAGGGAAGGGCGTGGGTAGGCTGGTGAAGGACTAGCAGGGCCGGGGGCAGCCAGTGAGGAGGCTGTGGGCAAGGGGTGTGGCCAGGGGTCACAGCTGGGCAGGAGGTGACCCCAGTAAAGGAATGTCTGGTTGTGGGTAGGAAAATACCCAGGCATGGGCACAGGCACAGAAGGGCGTGCCTGGGGCAGTAGAGCACAGCTAGGTAATGGAGAAAAGGGATGCAACATGGCATAGATGCAACCAGACATTGGTAGATGAGCTAAAATTTCCTCTCTCCTTCCCTCTAGGGGTATGTGGCGTGACATGGGCCTTGAGCTGCCACCTTCCACCGCAGATGTGGCTGCATTTCAGTGATTTTCTGTGTGTACAGCTCATGCAGTACTTACCATGGAGTCACCAGGACCCAAGTGGTGTCTTTTCTTTCACACCTCCTCCCATGTGGCCTTAGGGGGGAAGGTAACTCCAGAGAGGATGGAGCCATAGACTCCAGCTGGCAGCCAAAGCAGAGACCTTTAGACATTCAGAGAAATTCCTCGTTTTGAGAGGACGTTCTCTGCCCTGTGCAGATGGGCTCTTTGCTGTAACCCTCCCCTTCATAGTCCTTTCACCTCTGCTTTACTCCACCCTTGCCCCTCTTACCGTCTTCTCCCCTGCCCGGTCCCACTACTCTTCCTTTTCCATTTAGCTTAGTCTTTCCTAACTAGCTCCACTGCCCCCCAAAAGTGGCACTAACATGTTTGTTGCCCTCATTGTTCACTCAGCATGTGTGGTGTACCCCTTCCCCCACTTGGTGTCTGTCTGGTTTATTTCAATTGTAAACTCCTCAAGGCAGGGCCCATCCATTACTCTGTGTTTGTACAGTGCTTTTTACAATGGGACCCCATTCTTGGTTGATCTTTAAATACTATTGTAATAAACATGATTAATAATACTAATTAATAAGTAGGATTCAGGTACTATATGTAAGATTATTATAATTAGCATGAGAACACATCTTTCACCTCTACTGAAACAGCCTGGACTAGAAATGTGTAAGTGCTACATAGGAGATGGACCCTGAAGATGGTTAGAGACTGGGGTTGCACATATCTAAGGAGAGAAGGAGGGGGGGACACAGTGCAGAAGAATAAGGGGCTTTGGTTGAGATACTTCAGATTATGACTGGATAAGTGAAAGGAGCTCAGCTCCCTCTCTTCATGCCATCCCATAATATGAGGAGGTCAACAGGTGACAATACACTGGGGGCGGGGGGTAAATTTAAAACAATACTTTCTCCCCCATACTGACTAGTTAGCCTGGAGAATCCACTGCATCAGGAGATCAAAGGCTGAAACCAAATCTTGACTTTAAAACAGGCTAGAAAATATGGCCAGAAATATTCATAGTAATGCTAAAATAGGAATGCCAAATCTCATGCCTCATGGCTTAAATACTTTACTGCAGGGCACACTCTGTCATGCCATATACAATATTGAACAACTGACTAAGTGTGTTATTGGCAGGTTTCATCTTCCCCTGAAATGGCAGGTATTGGCCACTATTTGGTGGCAGGTTTCAGAGTAGCAGCCGTGTTAGTCTGTATCTGCAAAAAGAACGAGGAGTACTTGTGGCACCTTATGATTTATGATTTGATCTTGTAAATCCTTGTTCACTGTGCAACAGGGAACATAAGGCTGCTGTACTGCGGTTAAGTGTGAGCAGAAGCTATGTGTGGGTGCAAGTACTAAGCAGTGGGGGCCATTGAAAGCCCAGTGAAGTCAATGAAAGGATTCCTATTGACTTGAATGGGCTTTGGAACAGGCCCAAAGCGTAGCCCTGTGGAATGAGCAAATAATAAGCATAAAGCCCCTTGCGTGTCTACTCCATTGCAACAGTACAGGGTAAAAAAGAAGCAATGCTAGGGGAAGAATGGCCATGTCTGAAGAGAGGTGATCTTAAGTAGCATCTTTATCACTCCAATTAAATATTTAGTTATAGGATTGTTGAGCCTTAATTTTGCTATTAGTCGGGAATTACTTGTCAGCGATGCAGAAGCACTGACATTGTAACTCCATTGGTGGCGGGCAGGATCAAACTGGGGACTTCAGTGCATGAGCCTCTATCGCATAAGCTAAAAGCCAACTGGCTGTTAGCTAAGGCTATAGAGCAAACTATTTTTGTTTGTTTGTTTGTTTGATTGTTTGTTTCTCTCTCTTTCTCCTTGGTGCCACTTGATGAGACAGAACACCACACCCAGGAAGTGAGTGGTTTATACAGTGGTTCTCAAACTAGGGCCGCCGCTTGTTCAGGGAAAGCCCCTGGCGGGCCGGGCCGGTTTGTTTACCTTCTCCGTCCCCAGGTTCGGCCAATAGCGGCTCCCACTGGCCGGGGTTCACTGCTCCAGGCCAATGGGAGCTGCAGGAAGCGGAGCGGGCGGAGGGATGTGCTGGCCACCCTTCCTGCAGCCCCCATTGGCCTGGAGCGGCGAACCGTAGCCAGTGGGAGCCGCGATCAGACGAACCTGCAGATGCGGCAGGTAAACAAACCAGCCTGGCCCGCCAGGGGCTTTCCCTGAACAAGCGGCGGCCCTAGTTTGAGAACCACTGGTATAAACCATTAATGCAGAACTGGGTTCCTCTGTGCTCCTGCTCATCACACTTACATATGCAACACTGCAGCTGTGAGATATAGGATCAAGACTTTAACAGACCGATGGTCTGATACAGTACAGTGAATCTTTTGTGCCTCTCTGTAACTGGAAGTCTTAAAATCAGTGGTCACCAACCCGTCGATCGCGATCGACTGGTT